AGAGAGGGAGAAGAGAGAAAGGGGGGGGGAGAGGGAGGAGGAGATGAGGGGGCAGAAGAGGGAGAGGAGGGGACGAGAGGGGGGAGAGAGAGAGAGAGGGGAGAGAGGAGAGGGGTGAGAGAGGAGTAGAGGAGAGGGGGGTGAGGAGAGAGTGGGGGAGGAGGGGAGGAGAGGAGGGAGAGGTGGGGAGAGGAGAGAGGACGAAGGAGGGGCGGAGAGTGTAGGGAGAGGGGGGAGTGAGAGGGTTGGCTGGAGGGGAGGGTCGGTCTGGGGCTACTGGAAGTGGCTAGGCTAGGGGCAGTCCTGCACTGTATCTGATCGTGTTGCGACAGCTACCATGTCTATGCAGACATACGGCTGTCTACTTTGTATACAGTGGACCCCGGCTTAACGATTTTCATCGAGACGATGTTCAGGTGCCAGTACTGCCAGAATTTGTGTCCCTTAAGAAATTTTTGAAGTAGTTAGTCCATATTCAGACCCAAGCAATACACGTACAAACGCCAAAATATACAGCTTAATATGGTTATGGAGGTAATCGTTATCCGGGGGTCCACTGTATATCATTAGTAAGGCCTCGCCTAGATTACGCAGCTCAGTTCTGGCCTCCATATTACAGAATGGATGTAAATTCGCTAGAATACATCCAGCTTAGAATGACCAAATTAATACATAGCATTAGAAATCTTCCGTACGAAGAACTATTGAAGACTCTTAACCCTTTCAGGGTCGAGAGGCCCTCTCCTAAACTCGTTCTCAGGGTTGAAAATTTTTCGGAAAAAAAAAATGATTTTTTCTTGTGAAACGATAGAGAATCTTTTTCCGATCATAATGACACCAAAAGTATGAAATTTGATGGAAAACTTACGGAATTATGCTCTCGCGAAGTTAACGGTCTCGACGATGTTTACGCATCGGCGATTTCGCCCACTTTGAGCCTTATTTTCGGCCAATTTCAGTATACTAATCGACAAAAATCATATGTATTTCACTAAAACTCCATTTTTTCTATCAAATGAGTACAAGAAACCACCCATTTACCGATTTCAAGTATCCAATAAAGTGGTGAGAAATTGGTAATTTTGCCAATTTCACGCAAATTTCAGAAGATGCCAATTTCCAAATAGGATCCAGAATAAGCAAGACAGACATTCCTGGCACTAAAATAACATTTTCTCTGTTCATTAGTCACATCCCCAGGCCCCTCTTGCATCTCTTTTGCTTTCCACTATGAGTTTTTTATTCTCACAAAAAATAGAAGATTTACTGTTATACTGTATTAGTATAGAAATGGTATAAATAATATCAGTGCACTTGTGAAAGAATATTAGACTCACCAGTTGACGTGTATTGGACACTTGGCATGATTTGTTTACTTTTGAAATTTGGTAAAAGTCAAACATTTCTGCTAATATGAGCTCAATTTCAAGGTACTTTTCATTATGAAACCAATCAAAATCATCTCACTTTATGTAATATGTCTTCCAGTCTATAAAATGAGACCAGAAAAACTAGAATACAGCCATAAATACTGTATGAAAATACACTGCAAAGTCACCGTTTTAAACCAAAAACACGGTCAGTTTTTTTTTTCTCATTGTGCACTGTGTGTTGCAGGATTTTTTTTATACTGCGCACACTGACCACATAGACCCATTCTTTCATATGTAGGCCTACCAGCTTTCTCTCACTAGATTTGAAGGTGCTACAATTTAGGCGTACTAGTACGTCAATAACCCTAGTGCGTAAGCCGTACTAGTGCGTTGGAAACCCTGAAAGGGTTAAATTACATTCACTTGTAAGACGAAGAATGAGGGGGGACATGATCGAAGTGTATAAGTGGAAGATGGGTATTAATCTGTAAACGGTCCAAGCAGATCTACGTTCACATGTGTAATGCTCCAAAAGTAGATCTACGTTTTTTTTACATATTTTCAAATATAACAAAAAAAAAAAGTAGATCAAGTTATTTTACACATTTTGAAATGTAAAAAAGAAAAAAGATCTACTTTTTTACATACTTTCAAATGTTGAAAAAACGTATATATACGTTTGGACCGTTTACGGGTTAACAAAGGGGATATAAATAAGGTTTTGAGGATATCCTTTTAAGAAAGAACCCACAATAATGTATTCAAATTAGATTAAAGTTTAGATTTTGAAAGGATATAGGGAAGTATTGGTTTGGAAATTGGGTACAGGGCCTCCATCACAAATCCGGCACATCATTGGAACCTAAAGTGTGCCGGATTACCGAGTTTGCCGAATTACAGAGTGGTTAGGTTAGAATACACTTAACAAAATTAACCAGCTTGACTTGCACAGTTCATTGAACATCGGAAAAATTCGAACATTTCCACTACTTTGAGCTCAATTTCAAGGTACTTTTCGTCATGACAGCAATCAAAATCATGTCTATTTCTGTAATACATCTTCCATCCTATCAAATGAGTCCAAAAAAATGAGAATACAACCATAAAAACCATACGAAAATATACTGCAAAGAGGCGGCTAATGGCTGAGAAGTTAACTTCCTTATTTATTGTCCGTCTTTTTTATTTTTGTTGTACGTTAAGGAGCATCTTTCCATCATACATTGCCCAAGTTTCAGTGAAATAGCCCAACAAACAACCGAGAAAAATTTTTTTACCAAAAATCATATATGGCAAGCCTAAGCCAGGTACTGGAAATAAGTCACTTTGTCTGGCTTTTCTGGGTTATCCCAGGTTCTCTATACATACATACACTGCTATGTATGATAATCTATGTAACTGTATTTGTGTATACCTGAATAAACTTATTTACTTCTAGTCTGTCAACTGAGTACAAGAAACTGCCCATTCACTTATTTCAACTACCCAATAAAGTGGTCAGAAATTGGCAATTTGGCTGATTTCACACAAATTTCAACAGATGCCAGTTTCAAAATAGGATCCAGAATAAACAATGCAGACATTCCTGGCACTAAAATAACATTTTCTCTGTTCATTAGTCACGACTACAGGCCCCTCTTATATTACTCTTGCTTACCATTTGGAATTTTTACTCACAGAAAATAGAAGATTTACTGTTATACAGACTACTGCATTATTGTAATAATTGTATAAATAATGTCAAGCCATTCTTGACTCCGTACTGGAATTTGGACTTGCAGGTGGACAGGTATTGGACGGTGACGTCATTTGTTTACTCTTGAGCTTCGCTAAAGAATAGAACATTTTCGCTACTGTGAGCACAATTTCAAGATACTTTTCGTCATGAAAGCAATCAAAATCATATCTATTTCTGTAATATATCTTTCATTCTATCAATTGAGACCGAAAAAATAACAACCATACAAAAATATACCGCTAAGCGGCCGCTAATGGCTGAGAAGTGAACTCTGCTATTCATGGTCTGATTTCTTTCATTTTTGGTGTACGTGAAGAAGTATATTTCCATCATACATTGCCCAAGTTTGAATAAGATAACCCAACAAACAACTGAGAAAATAATATAATAATAATAATAATAATAATAATAATAATATCTTTATTTACTACACAATGTACAAGGTATACAGGCCTGTGACTCGGACATATACTGTATAAAAAGGCTCTTGTTATGTGAGTATTCAAGAAAAATTAGGTCAGTGTCCCAGGATAACACCCCACTAGTCAAAAACCCCCAGGTATCCATTTACTGAAGGGTACACATAGACAAAGGTGTAAAGAAACCACCTAATTTTCTCCCTGGCTGGGAATCGAATATTTCCCAAAAATCATATATGGCTAACCCAAAGCCAGGTACTAAAAGTAAGCCATTTGATTTTTTTGGGGTTATCTGGTTTCCCACATATGTGCTATGTGTGATAATCTATAGGAAAAAAATTTTTTTTTCATGTTTATGGTGGGTACGATTATTCATACCCCTGTGCTATCTTGTTTTCTCTAATATAAGCCCCAAGAAAGGTTGGAGAATGGTATTGTTTACCATATCCTCTTCATAATCTGTCGAACTGCTCGGTGTTATGCCAAATATTATTCATTTGGGGTATTTAACAGGGTTTTTTGTTATTTATATTGTTTTTTATGTCATTTAGATCAATTGTGTCAGGCAAATAAAACGTAGTGTTGTATTAGCATAAAAATAAGCATATTCTCCTGCTTCATGGATGGTCATGACAACCGCAGTGCTTCAAAAAACCCCCTTTTCTTTAAAGGTAATGTACTGTGTAGGTGCTTTACATAAAGGAAAGCATTTTTTTTTCTTGGAACATGGCTAGGGTAAAAGTAAGAGGTTAAAAAAATAAAAGGAGAAAAAGAAATTTGGAAAGACTTATACGCAAGTGCGCCCCAAAAAGTACCCGCAAAATTGGGGTGGCAATCCTGGAAAATTAGAATTTTGCTAGAAAAAATTGTGCCCATAACTGAAGGAAACCGAATAACTGATTGCCGGATTTGTGATGGCGGACCTGTAGTTGATGAGTGGAACAGTCTGCCTAGTAGGGTTATTGAAGCTAAAACGTTGGGTAGTTTCAAATTTAGGTTAGATAAATACATGAGTGAGAGGGGTTGGATTTGAGTGAGACTTGCATAATGAGTAAATAGAATCATCAAAACTTATTTATTGGGTAGCAGTGAAAATTGAGTTGGGCAAATATTTTGTTAGTGGGAAGGATTGTAAAGGACCTGCCTAGTATGGGCCAACAGGTCTGCTGCAGTGTTCCTTCTTTTGTTCTTATGTTCTTATGATAAGATACTCAGGATTGCTTAATTAGACATGGAATCTTTATTCTTAAATTTTTATGTTTTTTTTTTCTACAATAAGTGAATTACATGTTTTTTTTTTTTTTATTGATTGTGACTGTATTTAGGATTCATCCTACTTCAGCTTAGTGACATATTATGATGTTCTGCAAATATCATTTCCTTTAAGCCATAAGGAAATCTTTTACATCCCCCCCCTCCCCCATACCCTCTCTTTAGCATGAAGTACTGAAAATTTTAATATTTCCACAGGTGGAGGCAGTTTATCGTGAAGGAATAGTTCGTCTGTCAACCAATTGTGCAAATGAGGCAGCAAAAAGGAAAGTGAAAGTATATCTGGAAGTCTCCGCTGGAAACATGTTCTCTGATGAAAAGGTAATGAGCATGTATGTGGAGACTAAAATTTCAAACGAGTTGAAGTAATGATAATTGAATGGATGTGTATACAAGTAAACTCAGTGTTATATGCCATCTTGTCAGGGGTGAAAGGGAGTGCTTAGGAAAAGTTGCAAATAAGAAACTTGGCCTAGAGTTGGTAGTTAATGTGAACTACCAGTATTTTCATTATACATAAGAACATAAGAAAGAAGGAACGCTACAGAAGGCCTACTGGCTCATGCAAGGCAGGTCCAAGTCTCCCCCAACCTAGTCAGGTCAGGTCACATTCACTTAAGGAGTACAGCATCTGACCTAGTAGCACAAGCTAGTCAGGTCCAACTCTCACTCACCTGCACCCACTCATGCATTTATCTAACCTATCTTTAAAACTACACAACGTTTTAGCCTCTATAACTGTACTCAGGAGCTTACTCCACTCATCCACAACTCTATTACCAAACCAGTGCTTTCCTATATCCTTCCTGAATCAGAATTTTTCCAACTTAAAGCCATTGCTGTGAGTCCTGTCTAGGCTAGATATTTTTAGCACGCTATTTACATCCCCTTTATTTATTCCTGGCTTCCACTTATACACCTCATTCATATCCCCCCTAATTCTATGCCTTTCTAGAGAGTGCAGATTCAGGGCCCTCAGTCTGTCCTCATAGGAAAGATTTCTGATGCATGGGATCAACTTTGTACATTTTCCAGAACATTTTCCGTTCTGTAATACAGTGACCAAAACTGTGCAGCATAAATTTTTGTATCACTGAATATATCTTTGCTTAGTTAATCTTAAGTAAATTTTAAGCCTGCCCATAATGCTCTGCATACAAGGGGTTTTGCATGCTGCACTTTGAAAAATTGTATTCCTTATACTTCTCTGTATCATGTTCAAATTAATAAATAAATCAATAAATGAGGCCTAACCAAGGATATATAAAGTTGAAGAACAACCCGAGGACTCCTATTATTTATGCTTCTCAATATGAAGCCAAGGATTCTGTTCGCTTTATTGCGAACACTTATGCACTGTTGTCTTGGTTTTAGATTACTGCTAACCAGAACTCCCAAATCATTTTTGCAGTCAGCAATATTAAGATCTACATTATTTAGTTTATATGTGGCATGGTTATTTACCTGTCCAGTGTTTAGAACTTTGAATTTGTGTATATTAAACTGTATCTGCCACTTCTCCAACCACTGCATCAGTCTATTCAAATCTTCCTGGAGTGCTCTAATGTCCTTGTCAGAATGAATACGACAGCCTGTTTTGGTGTCATCAGCAAACTTGCTAATGTCGCTATTTATTCCCTCGTCTGTGTTGTTTATGTAGATTGTGAACAACAAGGGTCCCAACACTGACCTCTATGGAATACCGCTCATGACACTTCCCCACTCTGATTTCTCCCCATTTGTGCAAACACACTGCTGCCTATTTGTCAGCCATGCCTCTATCCAGGAAAAAATTTCTCCTATATAGTGTGCCTTAATTTTCCTCAATAGTATCTGATGTGGGAATCTGTCACATCTTACTGAAGTTCATATACACAATATCATTCATTACCATGATCTACCTCCTCAAATACCTTAGTGAAAGAAGTTAATAAATTTGTAAGGCAGGAACACCCTTTTGTAATACACAAATAACCCGCACATAAAAGAGAGAAGCTTACGACGACGTTTCGGTCCGACTTGGACCATTGACAAAGGTGACTTTGTCAATGGTCCAAGTCGGACCGAAACGTCGTCGTAAGCTTCTCTCTTTTATGTGCGGGTTATTTGTGTATTGTTCCAGTCACGGTATTGTGCCTTTTTGTTACCCTTTTGTAAAACCGTGCTGAAATTCGTTGATTAATTTATGCTTTTCAAGATGGCTACGAATTACCTTGGTAATTATTGATTTCATAAATTTTCCCACTCTAGAGGTTAGGCTTATTGGTCTATAGTTCGAAGCTAAGGACCTGTCACCTGCTTTGAAAATAGGTATCACATTTGCCGTTTTCCACTTATCTGGCACCATGCCAGTTTGTAGTGATACGTTGAAAAGATTAGCCAAAGGTTTGCTAAGCTCCTCTTTACATTCTTTTAGAACCCTTGCATACAGTTCATCAGGGCCTGGGGATTTGTTAGGTTTTAATTTATCTATTTGTCTAAGGACTGTCACTTGTGACCCTAATCGTGCATAGTTTACTATCATCCTGTTCTACGTAATTTACTATTTCTGGAATATCGCTAGTATCTTCTCCTGTGTAAAAACTGAGGAAAAGTAAGTGTTAAAAATTCTACTCATTTCCTTATCACTGTATGCGAGCTGACCCGAGTGACTTTTGAGTGGGCCTATCTTGTCCCTAATCTTACTTCTGTATACCTGAAAGAATTCTTTTGGGTTAGTCTTTGATTCTCTTGCAACTTTACCCTCATAATCTCTCTTTGCTTTTCTTATTCCCTTTTTTTATTTCTAACTGAATATATTGATTTCCTAACTGCCCCTCTCTTCTTTTGATTTGCTTATATATGCCTCTCTTTTGACCAGTGAGATGTTTTAATCCATTGTTCATCCATTTAGGATCACTTTTGTTTGATCTGATTTCCCTATTTGGAACATAAGTTGTCTGAGCAGCTAGAACTATGCTCTGGAAAATATCATATCAGCATCCATCACCACCTACCTTACCTATAGTCAGGTCATTCCAGTTCAGCCTACCCAGGTAATTTTTCAGTCCTATGAAATCAGCCAAACGGAAGTCGGGGACAGAGACTTGATTGCCATTATTAGGGTAATTCTATGATGTATTAAAACTGAGTGATTTGTGATCACTTTCCCCAATCTCATCATTAACGTCAAGATTATTAATTAGCAATTCCCTACTGGCAAGAACCAAGTCAAGTAGGTTTTTTCCTCTAGTTGATTCTGTCACAAACTGTTTTAAAAAACAATCCTGAATCATATCAAGAAAGTCACTTGACTTTAAATTTCCTGTCAAATTGCTCTAGTCAGTTTGTCTAAAGTTGAAATCTCCCATTAGCACAACATTTTCATACATAGATGCCTTATGAATTTTGTCCCATAGAAGTTTACTTCACCCCCTATCAAGATTTGGGGGCCTATAAATCACACCCAAAATTAGTTTTTCACGGCTCTTGAGAAGCTGTAACCAAACAGATTCAGTGGCTGATGGCTTCAAATTTTTTATCTTGTCTAACACAACAATTTAAATTCTCTGACATACATCGCTACTTCACACCCTTCCTGTTGACCCTATCAGTGTGGAATAATTTATAGCCTTGTATGTGACATCCTGCAGGCATGACTCACGAAATCGTAATGACACTATTGCAAACAAACCATACCACGGATGGGATTAGAACCCGCAATCAGAGAGTCTCAAAACTTCAGACCGTCGTTTTTTTCCTGCAGGCATCTCTCTTTCAGATTGAGCCAGGTCTCTGTTATAGCAATAATATCTGTTTCCTGCACTTGCAATTAATCTTGGCTCCTCTCTTATTTTTTATGCTCCTGCTATTATAGTAAACCTTTAGGGAGCTAGTTTCTTGCTGCCCTCTGCTGTCTCCCTTTGTTTGCTGGCCTGATCCATTGTCTTTATTTTTAACTTTGTTGAATGTCTTTTATACATTTACCTGTTTTCAACCCTAGTGTTGCAACCTGACTGTTTCTCACACACACCCATACCTCTATCTTCTATCAGTTTAAAATCCTAGACATGTCACCAATGGCCCTCTCGATCGAGTTCACACGTGCTACCACCCCTGCCCCAGAGAGATGTACCCCATCCATTGCATACATTTTTATTTTTTTATTATCACACTGGCCGATTCCCACCAAGGCAGGGTGGCCCGAAAAAGAAAAACTTTCACCATCATTCACTCCATCACTGTCTTGCCAGAAGGGTGCTTTACACTACAGTTTTTAAACTGCAACATTAACACCCCTCCTTCAGAGTGCAGGCACTGTACTTCCCATCTCCAGGACTCAAGTCCGGCCTGCCGGTTTCCCTGAATCCCTTCATAAATGTTACTTTGCTCACACTCCAACAGCACGTCAAGTATTAAAAACCATTTGTCTCCATTCACTCCTATTTAAACACGCTCACGATGCCTGCTGGAAGTCCAAGCCCCTCGCACACAAAACCTCCTTTACCCTCCCTTTCCCAACCTTCCTAGGCCGACCCCCACCCGCCTTCCCTTTCCCCTACAGACTGATACACTCTTGAAGTCATTCTGTTTCGCTCCATTCTCTCTACATGTCCGAACCAAACCCCAACAACCCCTTTCCCAGCCCTCTGGACAACAGTTTTGGTAATCCCGCACCTCCTCCTAACTCCAAACTACGAATTCTCTGCATTATATTCACACCACACATTGCCCTCAGAATGACATCTCCCCTGCCTCCAGCCTTCTCCTCGCTGCAAAAATTCATACCCCGCTTCACACCCATATAAGAGCGTTGGTAAAATATTTCTCTCATACATTCCCCTCTTTGCCTCCCAAAGGGCAAAGTTCTTTGTCTCCACAGACTCCTAAGTGCACCCCTCACTCTTTTTCCTCATCAATTCTATGATTACCTCATCTTTCATAGACCCATCGCTGGGCACGTCCCCTCCAAATATCTGAATACGTTCACCTCCTCCATACTCTCTCCCCCCAATCTGAATTTCAATCTTTCATCACCTAATCTTTTTGTTTCCTCATAACCCTTTCTTTTTTCCTGTATTCACCTTTAATTTTCTTCTTTTGCACACCCTACCAAAATTTATCCACCAATCTCTGCAACTTCTCTTCAGAATCTCCAAGAGCAAAAGTGTCATCAGCAAAGAGCAGCTGTGACAACTCCCACTTTGTGTGTGATTCTTTATCTTTTAACTCCAGCCTCTTGCCAAGACCCTGCATTTAAATTCTCTTACAACCCATCTATAAATATATTAAACAACCACGGTGACAATCACACATCCTTGTCTAAGGCCTCTTTTACTGGG